TTCAAAGATTCTTGCCAACCGACTCAAGCCTCTGTTGGACAAGATAATCTCACCTTCTCAAAGTACTTTCATCCCGGGTCGTTTCATTACGGATAATATTATGGCTGTGTTTGAATGTTTTCATACCATGAAGAAGAGCAAACGCTGGAAACATGGTTACTTTGCGGCAAAAATCGACATGGGCACATGGCCAAGGCATACGATCGGGTGGAGTGGTATTTCCTGGAGGGTGTTATGAGGAGGTTGGGGTTTGCAGAGAGGTGGATCCGGTTGGTTATGATGGGAGTGACTACTGTATCCTACTCTGTCCTGGTGAATGGCCATCAGTCCCAAACTTTCATCCCGGGCAGAGGGATTCGGCAGGGTGACCCGCTTTCACCGTATCTCTTTCTGCTTTGTGCGGAGGGATTGTCAACCTATACAGCCAAGGCGGTGGAAGAGAATAGGCTACATGGGTTGCAGGTGAATCGGGGCGCCCCGGTGATTACCCACTTATTTTTTGCTGACGACAGTATCTTTTTTTGCAGGGCAAATCAGCAGGAGTGTTTGGTGCTTAAGGAAATTTTCCATGCATATGAACTGGAATCCGGTCAAATGGTGAATTTCCAGAAGTCTGAGGTGTCATTCTCAGCAAATGTAAAGCCCCATAATCGGCTGGTCACGAGTGGAACGCTGGGAATGAAGGCTGTCGATAAGCACCAGAAGTACCTTTGTCTAGCCACGGAGGTGGGACGAGCAAAGAAGGATTTGTTTGCAAGCTTGAAGGAGCGTGTACGCACGAAGCTGAAAGGGTGGAAAGAGAGAACAATGTCAGTAGCTGCTCGTGAAGTACTGATAAAGTCGGTTGCCCAAGCACAACTTACCTATGCGATGTCGGTCTTCAAAATCCCGGAGGGCCTCATCGATGAGATACACAGCATGATCACTAACTTTTGGTGGGGTCAAAAAAAGGAAGAGAAAAAAGGTCATTGGTTACGTCGAGAAGAGCTTGTTACCCTTAAAGAAGATGGCGGACTTGGGTTCAAAGATCTCCGGGGTTTCAACACAGCGCTCCTCGCCAAGCAACTGTGGTCCCTTCATCTTCGCCCTGAGTCATTGATTTCCAGATTACTTGCGCCGAAATATCACAAAATTTGTTCAATTTTGGATGCTAGGCTTGGCAGTAAGCCCAGTTATATGTGGAGGAGCCTTCTTAGTGCGCAGAACTTCTTGTGCTCTGGATTGCGGTGGAGAGTAGGGAATGGAGCACAGGTGAAAATCTGGTGTGATCAGTGGCTGCCCGGGGAGCCAGCTTTTGTCGAATCGGCCCCAACAACACTTCCGGTGGATGCTACAGTACGTGAACTAGTTGATCAAGAGAGTGGGAGCTGGAACGTGGACTTAGTCCATGCGTGTTTCCCTCCTACCATTGCTGGGACCATCCTATCACTACCACTTCGAGGGGCTGAGGAGCAAGATCGCCTCATCTGGAGGCATAGTGAGAACGGACAGTACACGGTCAAAAGTGGGTACAGGAAGTGCCTTTCAAGCTTTATGACAGAGGAAGGGATTCGACATTGTGGTAATGAGAAGCTATGGAAGGCAGTTTGGACCATGAAGGTACCGCCGAAAGTTAAACATTTTATGTGGCGTTTCACCCGGGAGACGCTGCCTACTGGGGAGAAAGTTGCGGCAAAAAACCCGAAATGGTCCGACGAGTGCCCCTTTTGCGACCAAGTTGAAACCCAACGCCATTTTTTCTTTGAGTGTAGCTGGAGCTGTCGCATATGATGAGGTTCACCATGGACGCGTCCTTTCCTGTTCAATGGCGAACTGGATTGCTTGACATAGACTATGAAGGTTCTACAGCAGGAGAGCATGAAAACTGTTGAGCGATGGGCGATGATCATGTGGGCACTATGGAAAGAGAGGAATGCACAACTGTTCAACGGCGCAAAGTGGCCGGAGGATGAGATCGTTCAAAGGCTATCTCCCTCCTCGAAGAATACCAGAAGAATCAAGGCCCGGATGAGACCATCGATGAGGTGCAGTCCGCTGGAACATGGACGAAGCCGCCAGCTGGGTACATCAAAGTAAATACTGATGTCGGCTTTTTCGCTGATGGAGGCATTGGACTAGGGGCGGTGTTCCGGGATCACCAAGGATACTTCCTTGCTGCAGCGGCGAAGAAGATGCAGGGTACGTATGAGGTGGAGATGGGGGAAGCTCTTGCTGCTGAGTTCGGGCCCAGCTAGCACATCAACTCGGTTTTCAACTTCCCACTCTCGAGATGGACTGTCTTTTCTGGCCGAGAAGCTTAGGCATCTGAATGATGATCATAGTGAGGTGGGCATTCTTTGTCGTCGCATTGTGAGCATGTTGCAGGCTAATGGCTCGAGCTCGGATAACATTACCCATGTCAAACGTTCAACAAACAATGCGGCTCACATAATGGCTCATAGCGAGACCCACTGGGAGAGCAGAGTAGTGTGGATCGATACACCACCGATATTCCTTGTTGACCACTTTGTCTGGATAATGTAACCGATCGCTCCTAATCAATAAATCTCACAGGTCACCTGTAAAAATAAAAAAAATCTCTGACGGGTTGACAAAACAAGAAGCTTAAACGATACATGATTTTTTTTATAAACGTAAACGATATTTTTGGGCATGCACGAAATCAAGACTCTTCAAGCCTGATTGTCCCATGGAAACATCAAGAGTGGAGGGAAACATCCGTTGGGTGAGGATCTAACCATGAAGATATAAAAGGCCGACTTTTCACTTCTGATTTTCAATTTGATCGACATAAAATATGTTCTACTAATTAATGAACATATTTTGTCAATGATGATTATATGGCTTGGTGGATGGACTCTCGAGCCAACATAGGTATAAACATGGTTCTAAAAAGCGTGCTTAGGCGCATGGTAGAAAAGAAAAGGCCTCGTCTTGGCCATAAGCAGCACACAAAGCATCATGATCACATTGTGGCCTCGGCGATGCCTAGTGATCAACATTAAATTACATCTCAAAATGATGTCACAATGTCTCTTTTCTATCTTTTGATATTCTACTAGGTTATAGAAAAATCAAAACAATCCTCCCTTTTTCTTCTTCAACTCCCAAGTGTTCCTTGCTACTAGGCTAGAGTTTGAAATCATCACCTTTGAAGTAGCTTCTTCTTTCTTTGTTGCTCTTGTTCACTCCCAATCTGCTCCACTATTTTCCAACTTTTTCTTCCTTTCTTATTTCTCCGCACCATGTACGCAGTCATTCTATACTTTGTTCTCTTCATACCACCAAGATACACTTTCATATCACGTGGTATAATCTTGTGTACTACCAAGTATTTCCAAATGATCTGAACTAGTGATAAATATCTCAATTTTTTTTCCAAAATGGATATCATTTTAATTTGAAGAACACAACTTATTTGATTTCTTTGTGAAAAACTTAAAATTATGGGTTAAAATAAAAGAAATTAACCCGTTAATTGGAGAAAAATTAGTTATGTTCCACAAATAGTAAGTTTAGATTTATACATGATATTATGCATGATCGATCATGCATATAACCTTATTATGCTTGCTTCCGCTTCCCTTTTATCTGTGTGAAAACTCAAAAGTAGTTATAGCAAAAAAATGATTCATTGCTCTAAAGAGCAAAATAAAGGAGCCAAAGTTCAATTCTTTTGATATCCTTTTTCTTTTTTCTTTGCTCTTGCATTAGGACTACTCTTATTACCTTTAATAAATTCATCATTATAAAAAGAAAACTCTAAATTAAAAACAAAAAGAGATCAAACTTTTATTATTACCAAGTCAATGCTGGAGAAACACGTACAGCTTACTGCAGGAAGGAAGAACATACTGCGTGAAAACACGCAACTCTAACACTACACTACGCAACAAGGAAGCCCAGAAAACCCCCCAAACCCTAGAAGATGAAGATAATATAATCAAACTTTCTCTCCCGTAACTCTCTCCAGGCAGGCAGGCCAGTCCACGGGCAGGCAGAATCCTCGTGGCTCTTTATTCTTGCACCAAATCGGAAATCCGTACCATGACCATCACTCTTTTGATTAGAGACAGCCGTTTATTAATGATGGTAGATTATCACCAGCGGGAGAATCGGCGGGGACGGCGGGGGAGAGCACGACGTCCGCCAGCTGCCGAAGGGCGGCGAGCCGGCAGCTTATTGCTGTGAGTATTCTTCTGGCGGATTAGGGTCTGGCCCCTGGGAGAGTTCCTGTTGAGAAAATTGGTGTACCAGCAGGCCGAGCTCTTCGGGTAGCGGGTCAGCTGACCGTCGGTGTAGTCAATGTAGTAGAACCCGAACCGGACCGAGTAGCCGTCGTTCCACTCGTAGTTGTCCGCAAACGACCACGCGAAGAACCCCGACACGTTCACGTTGTACCCGCTGCACCAGTACAATATTATATTATATTCAAGTGAACACAACCGCAAGCCAACGGTCGAATTATATTATTAGTTCAATGATGTTGTGTGCAAGATGAATTACTGACATCATGGATTGGAGAACGCTGTCGAGGTGGCTGTCATAGAAACTTATCCTAGTGTCGTCTTTGGTCGCTGCCTCGATCGACTGTGTCGGATCGTCCTCTTGAGAGAGTCCTGATGATTATGATCACAAACACAATACATAAATAATAAAAATCAGCTTAATTTACGCTTTCTCATGAGCTTTATTTAAACTACAAGTTAATTAAAGAATTACCATTCTCAGTGATGTAAATGTGAGGGTTTCTGTATGTGTCTTTGGTGTAGTTCAACAGATATTGAAGCCCTTGTGGGTACAGGTACTGCCACGACGTACCCAACTGCACAATTTCATATCATCAAACAGTTTTCATTATAATACTTCACAAAGCCAGGTAGTTTTATCAAATTCTTGACTGTTTTTTTTTTTTTTTTACCTCTGGTCCAATGAGGTCTCCATTGGCTCCAGTAGCTGATAACAATGGAACCAACGAGAGTTAGTAGAGTCATGCTAGCTCACAAGGCCGCCAAACCTGAAGCATGCGTATAACTGAACAAATTACCTGTAGTAATGGCGTGGGAATCCTTAAGATACTCGAGATGTTCAGGGTCGAAGTTGGGGTTGTTCATGGAGTAATAAGCTGTGTAGTAATTAAGCCCCAGAAAATCGTACGACCCTTTCAACGATCTCGACTCCTCCGACGTGAAGGTGGGCAAGCGAGATCCGACGAGGTCGATCATGTTCCTCGGATAGTGACCATAGGTTATGGGATCCATGTACCTATACGATACCACGTTACAAATTAATTTACCGACTAGCTTCCTAATTTGGATCAGGTAGAAATTGTCATCCGTGGATAGGTCGGTCGAGAGAGAAATACTCACCACCCATACATGAAGTCTAGGGATCTTTGAGCTGCATCGATATCCGCTGTGGTGTCTGTGTAAGGAACGAACCAGAAAGTAACAATGGTGATTCCTACTTCCCCTCCTTGACTTGCCTATTCAAAATACAGACAAGTACTATTGTAATTAGTACAATATACGAGGATTAATTAATTAGTGTGACTAGAGATTAATTACTTGAAATAGTGTACGTTTTATATGCTATATCAATATACCTTGTATTTCTGCTGGTACAATCGATAACCAGCAGCATGAGCAAGAAGGAGATTGTGGGTGACTATGTAAGGCTCGGTCCCGGAATTTCCGGCGAGACATGCGTGGTTAACCCACGTGGAACAACGCCCCGGTGCCATCAGCCCTTCGTCGTAGCCTCTCATCACGTAAGTTACCGGTTCGTTCAGCGTGATCCATTTCGTTATCTTTCCACCGTACTCTTCGAATAACAAGTCACAGTAATCTTCAAAGTCCTTCCTACATAACATAACATAACACAACACGAAACGATTGATCAGTATTAATTTGGACGTAACGGACTTAGATTTTACGTATTACGAAATCATGTAATTAATCGCTTACACAATGTCACGGCTTAAGAAGCCACCGTACTCGGCTTCGAGTGCCTGAGGGGTATCCCAATGCCATATTGTGACATAAGGCTCGATACCTAAAATCAATTTAGGTAATAATAAATTAGTGTGTTATATAAGTGCTTCATTAATCTAATTACCAATTCGATTATATTAGGTTTTAGCAAGGTGCCAAGTAGTCTTCACCGTTCTGTAGGAGCAAATCAATAACATTGTGGTAAAAATCGATTCCTTCTCTGTTCACCCCTGTGCTCCGTTTCCCGTCTGATACCAAATAAATTAGAAAAATTAGCTTGGTAAACGTGAAAAAATAAAATCATATTAATGGAAATAATGTAATATTAATATATAATTAGCAATATATAGAACTACTTAATTACATGGGATAACTCTAGACCAGGAAATGGAGAGCCTGTAAGCATCCACATTCATGTACTTCATTCTTTGAATATCCTCCTGTACGTATTAGTTAGTTTCGTACATACGTGTTATATAAGGAAACCAAGCAAAGTGTAAATACACATGAAATACGTATTATATATGCATTCATTGCGTACCACAAACAGGTTATACATATCAATGGCCACATCTCCATTACTTCGATCAGCAATCCTTTCTGCACAATTAATACGTAGAAAATCAATCGAAATCGCGTCAGGTCCATGCCTCCTAACGATGAGAAGGATTACACAAGAAGAGGAAGAAACCTGGGAATTGATGGGCGAATTTGTCCCATACGCTTGGGCCTCTGCAGCTCTGATTGGCGGCACCTTCCACCTTTGATTCACCAAACAAAGAAGATAAACCATTACCATGCCATGGAGACATATATATATATAACACCACGTAAGTAGAATAGATTAAATAGTTAGCTAGCTAGCTAGCTATACCTGGTAAGCAGATGTGGCGGTGCCAAAGACGAAGCCAGGAGGGAAATTGGCTCGGCCGTAGGGCAGGGTGTCCGAAGGGGTGTAGGTATAGCCTTGGCAAGGGTCGGGAAAGGGAGGATCCTGCGCCGTGGCACGAGCCAGCAGTAGGGTTATCGAGATGAGGACAGGAAGAAATGACATCGTTGGAAACCCTCGAAAACGAGCCATGTCGTTGGGCCAAGCAAAAAGGAAAGAAGGACGATGGAGAAATATATTGAACTCCAAGAAGCTAAGCTGAGTAGTAGTAGTAGTAGTGTGGGTTTAGGAGCTTTGGGGGCAACCCTCTTTATATAGATAAGATACCAGGCCAAAGGTGCATGGCTTCTGCATATTGCTGTTTGTTTTTATCGAAGTTCTTACTGATTTACAGTTAATACAGCTGGCCAACATGGATATGTAGATTAGTAATATGTTAAAATGTTTTATAGTTTAGTTACTATCTGTTTTTATGGATCCAAATCTGACTAGTAAAATTAAACAAGTGTTTACTACTGTAGTATTCTCATCGAGATCTACCCAGTGAGGGTTTTTTTTCTAGTGATGAGTAGATTCTCACTGAATATCTTTTTCTTTTTTTTAACTGAACTAGTTTTTTGTTATTGTGTAGATTAGTTTTGAAGAGGAACATATCTTAGATCGAGGTGAACATCCTCAGTGTTCAAGAGGTATCATCTATTGATTTGAAAAAATTGAAAAATAATATCATTTAATCCTCGTTACCACTGGAACCACCTCGCCGCCGGGGAACGTCAATCAACATAAATTAAGGTGCTACATAACACCAATAATAATTTCCCCTATTTTTTATACTTCCCTTGTTCTTCATTTCCCCTGTTTTTTAACTTCCTCTGTTTCCGCTTCTAAAACTCCATGGTTTTGGCAATTTCAGGACACAATCAAAGCCCCGCCATCGGATATTGGTGATGCTGAGCAGTGGATATTGGTGATGCTGAGAAGTGGCTTAAAGGCCTAAAAAGAAGAACGATTGGCGAGAGAGATTAAATTTAATTAGTTGTTTGAGCGAGGCTTTGTTTTCTGCTTTGCCTCTGGTTTCTTTTCCTGGGATTTTGTCGTTTCTTTTGCTTTCTTTTGTGATCTCGGTAGCTAGCTGGGCTTGTTTCTTTGTTTTTGAACTGGTTTCGGCAGCTGGCTGGGTCTGTACCTTATTATCTTGTCTGTCTTTTAATAAATTGATGTCAACATTATAAAAAAAGCCCCGCCATCGGAAGCCAAGACGATGAGCAAAGCATCACTAGTCGGCATCGTCGTAACCACCATCTTCTACATGCAATGCGGCTACTTTGGCTACGCAACCTTTGGCGACCAATACCCGGGGAACCTCCTGACCGGATCCGGCTTCTACAACTTGTACTGGCTCCTCGACATCGTCAATGTCGCCATCGTCATCCACCTCATCGGAGCTTACCAGGTCTACTGCCAACCGGGAACAAGGAACAGCTGCGGCGGGGTGCTTCCACTGGTGATTTGATCGGGAAATGTTAAGTCTTTTGATTGACGTTCCCCCGGCGGCGGGGTGCTTCCTGGTAGCGAGGATTAAAAAAAATTATTTTTCAATTTTTTATTTATTTTTTAATGGTTGCAATAATGAGGTGGAAATTTGAAAAGTTTAAAATTTATTTTTAATTAATTTTTTAATTGCCACGTCACTCATTTAACGGTCAACTGTGAGGGTTGACTGCCACGTAAGCAAAAGTTAACGGAAATGGACGGAGAGTGACCAAACTTGAAACATTAAATCAATTTTAGTGACCACGAATAGAATTAAATATTTTTAGTGACCAAACATGAACGTTTTTAGTAATCTCAGTGACCAACCTTGCAACAAATTTTACCTAATAAAAAATCCATAAAAAGTATCCAAATAAATTAACACGCTAGCTAATTGGGTTTGGGGGAAAAGGGATCCCAAGAGTCACTTTTGCCTCTGAATTTGATCCAAACAAGACCAAAAGAAAAAACATATACAGAGTCCATCCCTTTGCTCATCGACTTTGTACCCAAAAAAAAAGGTTCCCGGGCAGCATTCTTTTTCCTTTCCCTTCGAGAACAAGAGCCCCATACCCAACGCCTAACTCCTGCTCCTTCAATTTCACGAGCTGATGCGGGGTTGAGCTATCACCCAAGTTGCTGTTCTCCTTGTTTCTATTCTACAAGTTGGGACGAGAGGAGAATTATAGAGTTGCGCTGATTCGATATGCTCGCCTCAATAGGTACGCATTCTCAGTTATCACCCATTCATTACTAAAATAGCAGATGATTTTTGCGTTGCCCTGGATAATTAGAATGGAGAACTTTTTTAATTAGTTTGGTTTTCTAGATGGAATTGAATTATGCAGTTGGTGTCCGACGTTGATGCTCTGTTTGAATTAGGTAATTGATGGGTCTTTGCACTTGTATGTTAGATGCTGCTGGTAAAACATGGAAAGATTGCATTATGAAATACTGTTACTATTGACTGCTACGGTTAGAACATGACTATTTTTTCATGTTTTGAATCGGGTAAAATGGAAAACGCTCTGGATCTGTTCTACATAATGAATTTGACCGGACTTTTCTGTTGATGTCAAGACTTTTAATGCCTTTATTTGTGGGCAGAACAGAACTCATGCTTGATTTGATAAAATCTACTCTTGTTATTGAATTACCACAAATTTTACCTAAGTTTGCAATCTGTATATTTTTTTTCTCCTTTTGGAAGGTTTTCACGATGGATAAAAGTTGGATGAATAAGCACAGGGCTAGTGATGAATATAGAACTGGTTTGAACAATTTTCTTGCATTTGCATTTGGTTCACCGTGTGCTCAAGATGGCAAAATTTTATGCCCATGCAAAAACTGTTGGAACCGTTCTTGGAAGTCTCATGGTGATGTATATGATCACTTGATATGCGTTGGATTTCTACCCAATTATACTCATTGGATTTTACATGGGAGAGTTCCTTTCATGCTTCGCCTCCACTGAGTACTACATACCAAGATCACATAGATACAAACACTGGTGTGCATGATTTATTGAATGATAAGGTAGCGGCAGAAGCTACCCATGGTTCTTTCTCGGGATCGCCTATCTACCATGGTTGCAGCCGCGAGCTTGCTGAGCATAGGAAAGATGCATCCCAGCTTATTATCATCGGTTAGGTGCCATCTAACCCCTTCAGTTGACCAATTCCCTACCCCACTCCAAGTAGCCGATCTCAAGCACTACCCATTCGTCTTTTCAGTGGATGGCTGTTGTTACATTCCGCCAGTTTTTGGCGACTTTCACTTTCAACCCGATTCACCGCCTACGTGCCCTTTACGCCCAGTCATTCCGAAGAACACTTGCCCCCCCCCCCCCCCCGTCATCCGAAGTAGTCTTTTAGTATAGAACAGAGGCATTCTGGGCCGACTACTATACTATGACTACATCCGCATCTAGTGCAGTGGCTTGGAAGCAAGCTACCTTGACCATCTTCCGAAGTTCTAAATAATCTACCAAAGGCTGTAGGGGCGGACTGCTCTACATTCAGCCACGCCATAGTGACCCCCGAAGCGATCTTCTTCTAGTTGCAGGACGAAATCCGGCAGCCGATTGCTGGCTCGGAATAACCAGCCCAGCAAGAAGTTCAATTCTTCCATAACATAACGGGGCGGGGTTGCGCGCGAGCCGAGTGACGTAGGTGCACAAGAGTACTTCGCGGCAGAAGAACCGAATGATGATGCTCTTAAATTTTTTAAGTTGGTGGAAGCAAATGAAACTGAACTTTATCCTGGGTGCACAAGTCATTCAATGCTTTCTTTTATCATCAAGTTATTTTACTTGAAATGTCTTGGAAATTGGTCCATCAAATCATTCAGCTTGTTGTTAGAGCTATTGAAAGAAGTATTGCCCAAGGGAGAAACTTTACCGCAATCTTACTATGAGGTGCAAAAGCTTATATCAGATTTAGGTCTGAGCTATGAAGTTATCGAGGCTTGTCGTAATGATTGCATGCTATTTTGGAAGATGCATGAAAAGGAGTCGAAGTGTCTTGTGTGTGGATGTGATAGATGGAAAAATAAGCCGAGTGATGATGTTGGATCTTCGAAGAAGAAAACCAAGAACATTCCTTATAAGAAACTTTGGTACTTTCCTATAGGAAAAAGACTACAAAGGTTGTTTATGTCCTCAGAAACAGCTTCTTTCATGCGTTGGCACAAAGAAAGTCGTACAAATGATGGAAATTTAAGGCATCCAGCGGATTCCCCTGCATGGAAAACTTTTGACTTTATACATAAGGAATTTGCTTCTGATCCTCGCAATGTCAGATTGGGTTTAGCTGCTGATGGTTTTAATCCATTCAGGTCCATGAATAATTCACATAGTACATGGCCAGTTGTGTTAGTACCTTATAACTTGCCCCCTTGGTTATACATGAAACAACCATACATGTTTCTATCATTACTCATTCCTGGACCTTCATCTCCAGGAAATGACATTGATATATATCTTCAACCTTTGATAGAAGAGCTATAAAGTTTGTGGAATGAGGGTATAGAGACTTATGATGCATCATTGAAGCAAAATTTTAGGATGAAGGCATCAGTGTTGTGGACTATTAGTGATTTCCCAGGTTATGCAATGTTATCAGGTTGGAGCACCAAGGGTCATCTGGCATGTCCTTCTTGTCATAAGTCCACTCATTCACAATGGTTGAAGCATTGTCATAAGTTTTGCTACTTGGGTCATCGAAGATTTTTGCATGCTGGGCATGAGTTTCGAAGACATAAGAAAGCTTTTGACAATAATCAGGAGTTCAGGCCTTCCTCGCGACCTATGTCTGGATCAGAGGTCTTACTCGAGCTACAAGGGCAAGCAAGTTCAGTTTGGAAAGCTCAGCAATAATGATCCATTGCCTCATGGTTGGAAGAAACGCAGTATATTCTTTAACTTGCCGTATTGGAAGGACAACGTGTTGAGACATAACTTGGATGTAATGCATATTGAGAAGAATGTTTGTGACAACATTCTTTGGACAATATTGAATGTAAGTGGGAAGTCAAAGGATAGTGTCAAATCTCGCCTGGACATGCAAATGATGAAGATCAGGCATGGATTACATCCAAAAAGATATGTTTCTGGTAAATTAAAGGTACCTATT